AGTCCACTTTAGCTTGCTTCACAGACTGCACACAAGCCATCATCTCCCCCTTATATAATCTCCTTCATGTCACTTCAAAGATGTCCAACTTTTCATTTCCTTTTGAGGTTCAGGCCTAGTGCTAACCTGGCAAATGATGTCACTCAACAGTTTTTTAGCATATTTCCAGCCAATCTCCACTTCTTTTTGCATACTTTTTGGACAATAAGCTCTTGCTTGTTTCGTTGTCAGACTTTTCTGTTGTAACTGCTGAACCGTATGGGATTTTTGATTTTATATTAGTACTGATGATTATTACTACTATAATCATTATTATTATTGTTTCCTTTAATTAAGGGAGGAACGTAGGCTTCAGCTTCCCTTCTCTATTGCCTTCGGTTGTCTGCTAGAGTTTTCATCCCGCTCCAAGTCTGCCCACATGCTTGCATCTCCTCTTCACAGGACCTCCTCCAAGTCCCCTTGCACTGACGGCCAACTCTCCACTTCCCTTTCAAGCTCCACTCGAGGGCTCATCTTGTGATGTCACTTGGTGGTTTGTTCCTCAGAGTATAGCCAGATCCTCCAAGTTTTTGTGTGGGTCTTCTTTCCTCGCTGCCCGCCGCTGACTGTCAATTATCCAATCTACTGTCATCGTAAAAATCATTGGTGATAGTAGGCAACCAGCTTGTCTCACTCCCGTCTTTACTTCGAAGGATCCCGTAAGTTTCCGTTTTGGATTACTTGTCATGCAGCATTGTCGTATAATTGTTAGATGAGATGTATAATTGTCGGTGGCACCGCGTAGTAGCGAAGTAGTTGCCAAATCACCTCTTGATCGACACTGTCTGTCGAAGTCGATAGAGTTGAGATAGAGAGGTGACTGCCATTCCAAACTCTGTTCAATGATGATCCATAGTGTGGCGATTTGATCAATACATGACTTGTTTCTCCTGAATCCAGCATGTTCCAGTCGAAGTTTTTCATCCAGGTCGGCGTGTTTGATTCTCTCCAGGATGATGCGGCTCAGTATAATAGGCCACAGGAAGCCTTACCTCACCCAAGTTTCGTGCCACTCAATACTCACCAGTCAGTCAGTAAGGCGTATCTGCAACCGCCTTAAAGCAATTTATGTCCATTCTGAGATTTGAACCCACGTTATCCAGTGAGTACTACAGTCAGAGACGTTATCACTGAGCTATTTCGGCCCGCGATTGACCTCCTGTTGGACTGTAGTGTAAACTTTGATTGGATACTGGTGACTGGTGAGTTTAACTAGAATGGCGACCACATTGCATAACTGACTGTCAGCATTTAGTCTGCACCAAAGAAAGGACTAGACAAATCACACTAGTTAATATCTAGTGTCCAATCAAAACAAGCGACTTTGGTATTCATATTTGTAGTTCCCCTTGATAAGTTTAGGCAAAAAACACAAAAAATATCTGGAGGTTAAAGGGGCTGATTTGATTTCATCGATTTTTTCCGAATGTTAACTGTACAAGAGGGTTAACAGCACTTAGCGCATTGTGAAGTCATCCTAAAGTTAGTACTGGAAAAATTATTTGGGAGGATAGTTAAAACTTTAGGAATTATGACAACATTAAAATCATGCACCTGAGCCACACTGAAGAGAGAACTTCAGGTGGAAATAGAGAAGACAGAGGTGAGAGGAAGAGAACCAAACAACCAACAACAGGCACCAATGACAACAAAGGGGATAAGTTGGTTCCGAGAACTTCATCATGAACTGATATCGGTGAGAGAACAATTGGAAAACAAGTTGTTTCATCAGCCTAGTTTGAGACTCTTCATCTGTACGCACCCACTAACCGAGGTTCGAACCGGGGACCTTTCGGTTACAAGGCTAGCGAGCTCGTAGACCATTAGGCCACTGCAACCCGATCAAATGTCCATCCCATGAATTCCAACTACTGCCAATTTCATGAAATAACACGAACACTAGCCAATGTCTTCGGCAAGTATATGTCCTCACACCCGACCTAATGTACCCTACTGGTTACGACTTCCTACTAGAATTCCAGGTAACTACCTACCTGAATAGGGCAAGTCGCTAGGTGAGCATCACATTGGTTTGTAGGGATTTGATTGATTTCTTACAGCATTTCATCCGGAGTTGACATCATTTAGAGAACCACTGGAAAACCACCTGGGATACAAGTGCTCTCTTTTCCACTCTCTTGGGTAATGCCATTTCAACAATGATCGACACGAATGCCGATTTTGAGAGTAGGAAGGAGGTTGATGGCACTTATCACAATGAACAATATATAAACGTTGAACACTAATATCAAGTTAATCTGTGCTTCTATCTGTTTCACAGGCTAGACGCATGCGTCACCCTGTTCACTTCCAACAGACTGCTGCAGAATTTCATCAACACTTGTCTGTTCTCTAGTCATTAACTGCCAGAATGTCAGAAAGGATGTCAGATAAACAACCTGGAACAAACTAACTGATAGTCGACTGCCTAATAAACATGCCATATAAAAATGGAGTCTGATTGGACAAACAATGAAAAGACAGTTGGTTGATATTATATGCCATGCACTCGAGTGGCACGCGAACTGGAATCAGTGAGTTAGTTATGAATCCAACGGTGACACAGAAAAGAATATGTCAGGAGGAGGAGGAGGAGGTGAGGGCTAATGTCAAGTTGTCGTCTGAAGTGGTGACGACTAATGGTATCCGTCAGGGACGCCCATTATCCCCATTTCTATTCAATTTCATCATAGATATCATACTAGTGGACTTAGTCGAGACTTAGGGATTGACTTGCTACCATCAGGAAATAATCTCGTTGACTTAGATTATGCAGATGATGATAAAGTTCTTCTAGGCGAGGACGCTGACAAAACAGAGAAGAGTATTCTGAACACCTTGAGCTGCAATCTACAAATGTTTGGCATGCGATTCGCTCCCACCGAATGTAAGATGATGTTACAGGAATGGACTACAGTGACTCCTAGTTTAGAAATAGGGAGTTAAGTGGTAGAGCACGTTGACAGCTTCACTTATTCTGGAAGAACCATCAGTCAGTGCCAACGGGTTGATGTCTGACGAAATTTCAGCACAGATACAGAGGGCTAGTTTCGAACACACCAGTTTACGCCGTCTCTGGCATAGACGTGATATCCGTCTGGCTATCGACCAAAGGGAGTGTGTACTGCTCATCAGTCCGCTCCGTCCTCCTTTATGGCTGTGAGTGAGACCTGGCCATTGAGAGTGGAAGACATGAAAAGCCTAGCTGTCTTTGATCATAGGTGCCTGTGTTCTATCTCCCGTGTGAAATGGTATAATAAGGTAAGCAATATTGAGATTAGCCTTCGGTTAAGTGCTAGGTAAGAAGGGGAAATCAGTCGACATGACTGTGAATCTAAGTCAACTCAAATGGTTAGAAGATGTGTTACGTATGCTTAGTCATTGCCTCCCCCAGCGGGCAATCTTAGCTGACATAGGGTCATGCTGGAAAAGAACTAGTGTTTATCAGACCAAAACACGGCACCAGTCAACGAAATCCAGGTCAGTTATTTTAAGCCACGTAGTAAGGTGTAGACGTCCTGACTGTTTGGGGTCCTTGGGATGGTAAAAATCAATGGCTGGAAACAATGCTCTATATGGCTCAAACTCATCGTTATCAATGGCGCAAATGTGACTTATGATTTCCAATGAAACTGTGTCGTACTTCGTTATTACCATTTCTTTGTCTCTATTATGCATTTCTCCTACTTTCTTCTCTTGCTTTGTGTGCTACATGGAGAGAGTGTGGCGACTTGAACTGGTGCACATCGGTGCAAATTTCTATTTCGAAAGCAGACAGACAGACAGATAGCAGGAAATAGAAGCTTCAAGGCAATCATGAGGCCAATAAGGAATCAAATGAAGGGGAGACACACCTCTAAAGCCTTATTTCCCACTCGCAAAACAAGAAAGGGATATCACTGATACTATACGAGTTATAAATGTTCTCTAATTATTCCAAAAAACGTCTCTCCTTTTCCTCTGAACATTTCAATTAGTGTTTTATTCAAACTAATAGAATACATCAAGTCAAGTCAAGTCACACCAAACTACTAAGGATAAAGAGATATTCAAAAAAGGTGCCATTACAGTATACATGGTTAAATAATACCGTAGAAATAATATTGCAATACTAGTAATTGATGTCACACAATCGAAGACTTACAAGCGAAAACTGACAAACTGGTCGAAGAAGCAGCAAATACAGGACTCCAGGTAAACATAGACAAGACAGAGGTTATGAAAATAACCAACCAACAACAGCAACAACATTCAACGTCAATCACCATCAACGGGAGGGATTGAAAGAGGCTAGTTCATTCACTTATCTAGGGAGTATTGTCTCAACTACAGGAGGAGCGGACGAGGATGTCAAATCGAGCGAGGATCGGAAGGCGAGAAACACATTCATCAACCTGAAATCAATCTGGAAATCTTCGTCACTCAGCATCACCAACAAAATTCGGATTTTCAATACAAACGTAAAGTCAGTTCTTCTATACGGATCAGAAACTTGGCGGGCGGGTCACAAAGAATATTTCCAACAGGCTATTGCAGACCTTTATTAACAACTGTCTTCGCTCAATACTGAAGATCAGATCGCCGGGCCGGAAAGAATCACCAACAAGAAACTATGGCGCAAACAAACAAAACAAGAACCAATCGCCAACCAACAAATATGCAGGAGAAAGTGATGATGGATCGGACACTCGCTGAGGAGACCGCTGGGTGACATCGCGCGCCAAGCCCTCGAGTGGAACCCGAAAGGGAAGCGGCGTGTGGGACGTCATTGCAAGGGTGATATGAGGAGATCGTGTGAAGAGGAGTTGAAAGAATATGGACTTACATGGATGCAGGCGAAAAGTATAGCAGAAGACAGAAGAAAATGGAGACGTGCAGTTGAAGCCCCATGTTCCACTAGGAACCCAAGGGAGTAATAAATAATAATAATAAGTAACAATAATAACTGTTAATTAACTTACATCTTTCTATTGAAAGCTGAAGTCATTTTATACACTCTACTGCTTATTGCTGATTTATCGATTGACTAATTTAAATTTCTATTAGATTACAGACAGGATATATCGACAACAGTCCGGTGACACATTAGTCATTTTAGATTTTTATAAGTTAACTCTACCCTACTTGACCTAATAATTCATTAAAAGGAATCCTTTTATTCCTAATGAGTTCAAATGTTAGAAGACTATTCAAATTCCCACCAATTTGTGTGAATTATGGTTATGATCACGAATAAATTATTATCCACAGACATTGTTTGATGCGACTGACAAATAACCTTAGCAGATGGTCATTACTTTTCAGACATTATTAATTTTATTTACCATGTCAATGATATAATCATTGCTTATGCCATGAATGGGTTATGCGATCATATCAGTTATCGTGGAAATAAGAAAAGTCTGTAACCGCTTAACATTCTTCCAGGAACAATACTTATAATAACCGTTGAAGAGATAACACTAGTGACTGGATTTCATTGAGTTTCCTCGTAGTCAAAGGGAAGAAAAGTCATATTTAATGCCTGTTTTCACAAATTTTGATGATGACGCTTGAGTGATTGTAACTGTTACTGAGGACTACAGCATATAAAATGTGCTTACACCAATGTTCTTCAAAATATACTACTGTAACAACAGAAGACAAGGGTCAGGAAACAGATCGTTTATTTCGAAATCAACAAATATTTCTAGATTTTCATGTACATTATTATAGATTATTGTAAGTAAACAAACACAGTCTTCTCATTGGTTGTTTCTCACTGAACCTTAATCTTTCAACTGTTTGTGGCCGTTTGTTGAAGTTCAGATTATCTATCTGCACGTTGTATCCGCCTACACAAAGTCTTCTGTGATTGACTGTTGAATCAGTCTTTGTTCTTATTTCTATCAAGACTAATATTGAGAGCATACGTATAGACGTAAATTTCTGTTTACCCATTTCGGTTAGCAGCCAGCCCTCACCACAGTCATCACCACGTCAAATACTTGCGACTGAAGTTAGTTCGTTCTTCTTGGCTCTAGGCAATTTGTTCGTTCGTCTTGCTGTCTGGAATCGCGACGATCGTTTATGTGTTCACCTGTTTCTCTTTGTTTACCATTTCCACTGTGTCTGCGTAACCACATCTCAACGTGACCATATGTAGTCCTTCCCACTTTGGGAACTGTGTTGCCTGACCCTTTCGCAAACTTGACGGTATTTCGCCCCACCCTTTCATATGCTGCTTTCTCCCGACCTCTCAGGAGCGTCCCAAGTAACAGCCTCATCGCTGACAGATCTTGAACGCAACTCAACTGCTCAGAAGTCTCAAAGTCGTGCCAGAAGATCTATATGTCTCCATCAAAAACTACAGGGAATAGGCTTTCCATTTGTAACGATAGAAGACAGAGGCTGGTCAACAGATCGTTTATTAAGTCTTAGTGGAACGGCCGGTCAGTATATATCAGTTAAGCTATTCAACACCAAGCATCACGATTTAAGCAAGCGACCTATCAAATAATGTAAGGGTATGGTTTGCGCATTGTGGTGGAGTATAATCTCATATTGGATAAGTAACACACAGTGATTCAGTACTGAAAGTTGTTAGTATATATATATATATATATATATTCATCCAAATGACTATAAATGAGATCCCTTTGAGATCCATTTATAGCCGTAATCCTATTTTTTAATCTTCCGCAAAATCCTTCTATAGAATTCGTGTGCGTCTCTGTAATTGGATCCACAAAATCCCTAGAATGATTCACTCTGTGATGAACATATCCAAGAGATGACAGCGAGTTATAACCTTTCCATTCATCAGTATGTACAATGGATTTCTGTTTCACAAGCTGAGTGACAATAGGTACTAAGGTAGAAGACTTTCTATCTGATATTCCCTTCATGAATCTTTTTCGCAGGAATGTGTTATATAAACCGATCCCCAAAACAGTGCTGGCTCGCTCATGACCACGGTTGTATTTTTTCTTCAGTAACACAGTTTCGTCCACGTGTATAACGATACCTTCTCTGTCTAACAACGAAGTAATTCTCTCCATTTTCCATGAGGCGATATCTCTCCTTCTCAAGCAACCCCAAATCCAGACAATACTGCAAAACCTTATCCTCATCTGACTGCAAGCGTAACTTCGTTTGATATGAATCAAGCGCTATGCAACCTTGAACTCGCCTGCATGAACCTCATTGGAACATCCGAGGTCATTCGCTGATTGGTAGTTATTGAAGCTTAAAGTTTAACTTGGTCAAGTTGTTTTATATGAGACAAACTTATCTACTATGGATTTGTACCCCACCTCAATGACCAAACCATACTCTTACAGTCAGTGACACTTATGGTTTTGTTGTTCCAGGACTAATCAAGCAACTTGTCTAACTATCACAAATAGAATTAAGATCTAAAAATCACTGTGGCTTCAATAGTCGATGGTTTAGAAAATGGATTAATTCCTAAATATCTTCATGTGTGCATTCCGGTTGCAGCAAAAAACGTATGGTGAAAACAGCAGAACAACACCTTTTTTGCTGACGCTCTTTTGTGTAAATAAATTCACAGAATCATGAATAAAACAAACTGAAGTGAGATATGACAATGAACAATTGAAATTTTAACTCAAAAATACGGGTAAATAACATGGAATACGAAATCCCACTGGAAACATCTAAAAAAGTAAAGATCAAATGCATTCTATATTAGTTTGTTTATTAGATATATATCACACAGTGAGTGAAACAGTATTGATTATTGGATGACACAGTTTCAAAGAAAATTTATTGTTTATAATCATATCGATTGGAATTACAAGACTTTGAAACTTGAGTTTTATAGTTTTCTTTGACCTCTCCTATTAGTCGTCGTCATTGGAGTAGTAGAATTTTCTGAGTGGACAGGTGTTGAATCATTCCTGCTACAGGTATTCCCTGTCAGTTGATTCAATAAACAAAGCTTTTGTTATCAATCTTTCTCTCCATCCAGCTGTTACATTATATTTTAAAACTGTCATCCTATCCCATCTCATCCTATTGTATGGTTGTGTGTAAATGCATGTAGTGACTGCTATAGCTGTTCAACTATTCTCTAGATTTCTTATCTTGTTCAGGTCAACCAGTCTAGATTTTGCTAGGTTTTTATCTTCCGGTAGTCTGACTGCACCAGTTCCACTACTTTCACCTATGTATTTGACGTGACAAGCATTACATGCAGGGTATTAGATAAGCTAAATTGTTTTGTTTTAAAGGCTTCACAGGATTGATGCTTTAATTTGAGTTTGTGGGTGGTTTGAGTGTCAGTCACTTTTATTCCTGACTTGTTAAGAATTCCGCTTTAGGTGGTTTACACGGTTCCTTCCTTGTATGGAATTACTACTGATGATTTAGATTGCTTATTGTTGGTGTCGTCATTAATATTACTATTATTAAAATAATAATATAATAAAATAATATTATTATAAAACCCAAGTTTCAAAGTCGTGTGATTATAATTGATATGATTATGAACAATAGATTGTGTTCGAAACCTTGTCACCCAATAAATAATACTGTTTCAGTGACTGTGTGATACATCTAATAAACAAACTTATACGGAATTACTTACTACCACAGTGCTCAAGCTTTACGCATATATCAGTTGCCTTCAACAATTTTAAAAATACTCAAATTAAAGTGGATTACCAAAATATCGTGTTAAGGAAAATGAAATAAACTACCAATGAAATACCATCAACCTTCAACAGAAGAAAGTGGGTGATCAACCTTTTGGTTTGGTCATTAGCCTCTGATGGAGTTTGGAATGCCTGTATTAGGCTTAAACTTCAACGTAACTAACTGTGGATAGATTAAAATCTGAGGATGTCAGTCTTAGTATAGAAGTAACATTCAGCAAAATATGACTGAATTTTAGATTTTCTTATCGATTAATTGGACCGAAGTGCTCGCTGTCAGGTTGACATGACGGATTCTCGTTCAAATGCTTCGACGATGTCTCGGAATTTAATTAGAATTCAATTTGTGGATGGTGACTAGCAGTAGTGGGATCCACCAGGATGCGCACTAGACCACTTGGTCAATATCCCAAATCTGATAATCAATTATATGGTGCCCATTTATCCATGTGAATTGAAGTGCCTGGTAAGACGAGCTTCTGAATAATAGAAAGGATTGTATCAGCACTCCTATCTGGAATAAGTTTGATAAATCCTTTCCGAATCTGGGTGTCGTTAATTCTCAGAACCCAAAAGTTATTTTCTCTAGCAGGTCTTCTATTGTACTTCCTCTTTATAAGGACCGTTTCATCGATTTGAACAATTATACCGACTCCTCCCAACACTTGAGTAGCACTATTCATTTTCCACGACGCTAAATCTCCACAGGACTGGAACCACTGTACAGTAGACGTTAACGTGTTTTCTATCTGAGCCACAGTTGATCTCCACGGGACTTTAAAATCCATTAATGGCACAGAAACAGGATATTGGTCGACAAAAGTTTCGATTCTTCAAAGAAAGTTCCTAGAAGACAATTAACTGAGAGTTTCGCTTACCAGTGCAAACACTTATTCGTTTCCTACGCTCTGTACATCTAAATATATATCCATCAATGACCTGGGTATATGGCTGCAGGTTCATAGAAGCACATATCCGAGTACGTCCTATTAATCCATTATCTAGACAGTATTGAAATACGTGATATGGGTGAAATTTGCATCTGAGCAGATGAACAGCGTTCATGTTCGCACTGAAATAACGGTAAGTTTCTTCAACCAACGACTAGCAAACGTTCAAGATCATTTGAACGTTTGCAGTCCTGGGACGCTATTCATGAACTTCGCCTATATCGCAGTGGGAGATATGGAGATGGAAGTGAAAAGTCAACACCTTCAACACATACGACAATGGTCACTTGCAATGGATGACTGACTTTTGGCTTAGATATTTGGTTTGTATAGGGAACCCTTAGTTACCTCCTATATATATATATATATATATACAT